AAGAGAGAGAGAGGAAGCATGGAAGAAGGAAAAGAAAAAGAGGGCCACTTCCATTCGTACGGGGAAGAGGGGACAGGCATGAAAGGATGGAAAGAGGTCTGAGCGGTCCAAGGGGAGGCAGTGGCATCACGTGGCTGGAAGCAAAGCCAGTCGTTTTGAAGCGAATTTCAGAAATGGCATCTAGGGGAGCATTTGGGCCTCTGAAACCATTGTTTCTGTCAGCTGGCTAACATCCTAGTGCTGACCCTTCTCCACATGTTGCTGTGGTACGTGCAACCCACAAATCACCAACTATGCATTACACAAACAAGTTATATAACCCCCAGTTCACCAGCATCGAAGAGACAATTACAAATTCATGAATAGCAAATAGCACACTCAGGAATGCCAAAATGGCAAGTGCCCCTGTCCGTAATCCATGGCAAGATCAGCACACAGGATGAAGCCCACGTTCAGTGTATCTCAGGACAGAGACTCATTAGGTCAGACTTCAGCCTGCCCCTTGCTTTCTGCTGCTTCAGAAGGCCCATCAGCCATTGGAGAAGAGCAAAGAGCAGACACATTTCTCAGAACATACTGTGAGGAAAGCCCTATATTTAACATGGCAAAAATGTCAATTGCAAACCTATAAGAAAATTCCAATATGGGTAGCCCCAATAGAGACCTTTACATTAAAAGTGCTAAGCCAGGAGGGAGCTCTACTCACGTGTGAAGACTTGTTAACTAATGATCAAATTCTGAAAAACAAACAAGATTTAGAGGGACTGGGTCTATCAACAGACTGGTGGTCAATATTGAAACTAATATCAAGTTATAAAAAGGATAAAAATATGGGCTTTTTGGAGGGGAAAGTTCAGGTGGATGGACTATGGATCTACACAAAAGAGAAAATACACAAAAAAGTATACATATCTATTAGAGTATGACCTAGAAGATGAAAGGGTGAAGGAGGTGTTGGTCAAATGGGCACAAAACTTTGGTTATAATATTGATATAGATGACTGGATGAAAATGTGGAAGGATAATTATAAGTTGATTAAACCAGTTAATCTTAGAGAAAATATCCTTAAAATGTTTTATAGATGGTATCTTACTCCAGTAAGATTGGCAAAATCTCAGAAGGGATCAGTAATGCTTGTTGGAAATGTAAAAAAATCCAGGGACTTACTATCATGTATGGTGGTCATGTTTTGAGAAATGTCACAAGAAACTGTCCGGCAAAAATTAAGCTTTAAACCTGAAATGTTTTTATTGAATATAATGCTAGAGATCATTGATAAAAATAAAATAAAATATCATCTAATGTATATAACCACAGCAGCTAGGTTACTCTGGGCCCAAAAATGGAAAAATAGAGAAATACCAACGATGGAGGAACTACTAAAGAAACTACCGGATGTTGCAGAAGTAGACATAATTTCAGAGGCAATATGAGATCAACCGAGACACTTTGTAAAGGAAAGCTGGAAGATGAAGTACAATTGGGTCCAGAAAGAGACAGGAACTTTGAGGAAGAAATGATCTTAGCAAATTAGTACGTACTTGCAAGAACTCGTTGATGATATTAGATGACCTAGATGATGGCGAAATCTCTGCTCTTTATATATAGTATGGATGTTTATTTTTTGGTTGCCTTTTGTTGTTTTTGTTGTGTTCTACTTTGTTGCTTTATATGTTTGTATGTATGAATAATAATAAATAAACAGATTTTTTTAAAAAAAGAGAACAGCAGTGGCCATTGCCATGCTTAAGGGGGCTGTGGAGGCAGAAGTATGCCAGGAGGAGAGACTGATTTTGCGCACGCACGCACGCACGCACGCACGCACGCACGCATGCACGCACACAGTGCTGGAGCTTTTCCAGACCCGGGATTTCCCTGCAGGCCCACAGATCCAGCGGTGTTTGTGGGGACACTGCCGTTGCCGCTCCCAGTGGCATCTGGGAAAAACGTGCTCTTGCTGACTTTCCATCACACATCACATTGACTGAAGCCAGTGAGTCTGCATGATTCATAGACCAGCAAGGAAACAGTGGCCTCAGCTGTTTTGCTATGGTGATGGAAAGCACAAGGGCATACATTGCCCTCGTATGTGGCTCTGGTTGGATTGCACCCAGAACACTGCAGGTAGTTGCCTTACTGAGCCTTCTCTGTCCCATTTTGAAAGTCCACAAACTGGGAGAAAAGCAAAAAGATTTTCCTTTTCCCTGCCACCCCCTCCCCGAAAGGACTCTTTCCTTCTTCATTTACAGTCTGGATTCTGCCCTGTCCTTAAGATGGGAGCTGCCTTGCTTGTCCTGATAGCTTTGGGGAATGGTAGGGAGAGTCCCCCTTTGTGAACCTCGTTGGGTCTCCGCCAGCATATTTGATCCAATAGGCCGTAACCTTGTACTGCCCAGCCTGGAATCTAAAAACACCAGCAGGCGTTAGAAGAAATGAATGGAAGCTTTCCAATAGCTTTGCTTGCATTTGCACCACAGCGTGGAACCTGCGTGTGTTACAGCCACACAGCTGAAGCCACTTTTGGGTCACATTTCTGGAAGATGGAACTTACTTTTCCCAAGAAAAGGAATGTATTGACACTTGGATGCACAGGCAATATTGGTGCCAGGTTCTCCAAAAGGGAGAAACGAGGCCCACAATGATCAGTGGCAAGCAGTACTGGGATAGCTTTGGCCCTAGTTTGCACAGATATTTTTTTCCTTTGATGGAGTGCTAATAGGATGCACCACAGGTGACTTTACCACACAGGGTGATATGTGGATGGAAAGGACACTCTCTGAGTGGAAGTGACCAGAAAGCCTTTGGCCTCTTGCTTCACCATGATCCATCTCTTAAGCCCAGTGTTTCAGAGGCCAAAGCACAGCACCCGCAGTCTATGAGCTGTGCTGGGGCCGAAAAGGGAGGGTGCACCCACCCACCCATGTTGCCCATCATGCCAGCACGAAGAGTGATTAAAGTGGCTCTGTTTCCTCCATATAATGCCGAAGTAGGTGATACCTCTATTAGGCCACTAAAAAAAAATCAAACAATATGCTAGCTTTTGTGGATCAAAGTCTACTTCCTCAGGCAGGCACCAGTGTCTTGTCAATAACACAGAGAAACTGGAATCCCAAAAGTTCTTCGTAGATCATTGTTTCAGGCTTATTTTTTAGAGGTAATTTAGAAAAAGTGCAGATGTCCTTGGAGGTTTGGTTTTCAGGCTGCAGCTCAGGTAGATGTGACAGGATATTCCACCCCAGCTCCTCAAACAAAGAATCCCAGGCCTTGTGTATATAGCTTCCCACATGGCCTTATTTTGCAACTACAAGTTTCTATTTGGGGAACAGGGAGCCTAACCTCCCCCCCCCCACTCACCCCTGAATCCTCTATCAGGGAATTGGGAAAAACGAGAAACAAACCTGGCACAACAACCTGCCATGAACTTCTGGGACTCTAATTTCTCTATACTGTACTATTGCAAGACCGATATGTGCCTGAGGAAGTGGACTTTGATCTATGAAAGCTGGTAGATTGATTTTTTGGGTGGCCTAGTAAAGGTACCACCTATTCCACACAGCTCTCTTCAGTTTTTTCTATTTCCTCATTGGCTGAAAGAACGGGACCCAGTCCTCTGAAGCCCGTCTGCTGCCCCAAAAACATATCAGGCAGGACTTTGCCCATTACAGCACGGACACATGTGTGATGTATGCATGCATGCAAGCAAGCATGTACCTGGAGATGACCAGCCTGCTTCCGTTTCTTCCATTTAACCCACCACAAGGCATTAATCAAGCAGCACATTTCAAGATGAAGGCATAAGTGTAAATGGGAAAAGCTTTGTTATCCCCTGAGCCTGGGAGAAAGAGCCAGTGATCCTAAGAAATAAGGGGAGTGTGGTTGGGGGAAGGGAGCAGAGGTATAAGTGACGAAGAACAGGGCAGATAGAGGCAGGCTGGGCATCTGCCTGAAGGGAAGGGAACGGCCTGAACAAGCAGCACTGTTTCTTTAAGAACGTGCGTGCTAAATTTATCTCTCTGTTGTCTGTGACGAGGGTTGTAGGAAGCCTTGAGGAGAGCCTCTGCTGCTGCTTGGCAAGCTATAAATAGTTCCAAAGCAACGACAGAAGGGTGTGTGTGTCTCCATCTCCTCACAGGGTGGAGATGTTACAGAGCAAATGAGGAGTGGGGAAATGGGTTTAACTGTTTTGGGAGAGGAGAGTGCAAAAGCCATCTGTTTCTGAACCACACCCTCTCCAGTGTAATGATACCTCCCAAAACACATACAACCCCCCCCCCCAATGCCTTTTGGACCAAAGTCCTAGAGACTAGGAATAGGAGCAGATAGAAATGGTGGTGACACCTGGGGCATTCCCAGCCCTCTGAGCATTGCTGCCATTGCAGAGAGAGAGAGAGAGAGAGAGAGAGA